TAAATCATTCATGACCTCCTAACCCGAGCACGAGATGCTGAATCATTAGCAATGCATTGATTCATGATATCTCCTGCTTTGTGAAACTTGCCTTTCATCTGAACCCCTTCCACTGAACACATACGCCCGCAAACTAGACGTTCAATTGGACGCGGGTTGAGTGAACTTCGGTCTTGGGTGCATATGTCGGCAGCGCATGAGAAGCACCTCTTGACTGCGCAAGAGGTGCCACTAATGGACAAATAATCACAAGCGAGACAGCTCAAAATTGGGTATTTCCCTTCGTTCAACTGGATACAGAGGAAATGATGATCAGTGATTGTCCTTTGTTGTTCTTAATCATTTCAAGAGCGAAAGGAAGGACTCACCTTCCACCATTCCAACGCCAAGTGAGGGTTCTCAACAACGTCTGGTGCGGGCTCCTCGGCCATCTCCAAGTACGAGCGCACACTACAAAGAATATAATGTTTTCTGGGCAGAAAACACAAATATTGATATACAAAAATATTGGGCGGTCAGGAGGAGGGCAGGAAATACAAAAAAATATGGATATTGTTCCTGGTGTTGAGAGCTTCAAGCTGAGTATTTTGGTGTATTTTTAGAGGGCATATTGTTGAATGTACTAACAAAAAACCCCATATTCATCAGATATACACCTGTAACAGATTCTGAAATTCAATTCCTCAGATTGGAGAGGACAATTTGAATTCTACAAATGCTCATAGAATTGGCAATTCTTGGTCAAAAGACTCACTTTCAGGCTCATTAGAAAGCCACATTCTCTCTCTAAATGTCTTAATAATGATTCAAGGCTTCATTTTCTCTCACAAGGTAGCTATAGTCACTTTGAAATATCTTCTTCAAAGCCGCATAGATTCTTTGCAAAGCTGGACACAGCCCTATCACCTCAATGAAAGATTTGGAGACAGAGTTCAGCTTTCTAATGAACCAATAATCGAGTGTTTTCCTTGCCAATTGCGAAAGTTATGAGCATTTGTAGATTTGAAATTGTCCGCTCCAATCTGAGGAACCAAATTTCAGCATCTGTTACAGGAATACATCTGATGAATATGGGGTTTTTTGTTAGTACGTTCAACAATATGCACTCTAAAAATACAAAAAAATACTCAGCTTGAAGCTCTCAACACCAGGAACAATATCCATATTTTTTTGTATTTCTTGCCCTCCTCCTGACCGCCCAATATTTTTGTATATCAATATTTGTGTTTTCTGCCCAGAAAACATTATATTTTTTGTAGTGGCAGTTCATTGGCTGTGTTCCTTTGATTTTTGGCTTTGTGTTTCCGGAATTCTTCATCATCTTCCGCTGCTGCTAAACTTCTCCCATTGACAACACGGTTAGAGTTCGCTGTGATCGGTTCGTAAGGTCCATCGACTTCCATTTCAAGTTTCTTGTCCGCATAAGCTGATTCTATCAATTCTTTAGCAAGTATCGTTTCTTCTGCTGCTTCTCCAAAAGCAAATTAAAGTAATCCAGCCGTAGGCTGGGGTGTAAGATCGTGGCAAGGATGAGTGTGTGAGAATCAAGTGCCTCCTTCAGATAGGCCTTGACTCTCACAAGCATAGCATGATACATTGGAAATAACGGCTCGGCTCGTGATAGTGTTGAATCGATCTTTTTTTGCAAAGTTTTCCTGAGCTTGACATACTCACGGATCACTAGAGACCCGGTTGGCCCACTCTGCTCAAAAAACTTCGTCAAGTTCTTGAACTCCTACAGGACCAAAGATTTCATTGTTAGCAAGTCATACCCGATGGTAAAATGGCAAACAACTTAAAGTTACCTGAAGTATATTGATCAAGTCTCGCACTTGTCGCCACTCATCTGGCGAGATCATGATTTTATTGAACACTCCTTGAGGTCGGTGGAGGTCTGGAGCTAGTGGAGTCTCGCCCACTCGACTTGGTCCTGCCCTGCAAGGTAGGTCCATTTGATCTTCTTTCAAGATCTGATTGATTACCTTCAAAGAGAACAAGTCATATGTCAGAAAGAGAGAATAGATGATTAAAGTAAAAGACTGACCTCTCGGGCATTATACAGCCTTTTCCAGCATTGGAGCTTGATGTTCCAACGGATACCATATCCAGGAATTGGCCGTGGAAGTTTTTCCTTTAAAAGGGTTTGGCTGACGGCATCAAACAGATTGCACATCACCGCTGATCCACCTATTTTACGCCCTATGACATCGAGCTACCAAAAGGATTATGAGTTAGTCAAAATTCTTCGTTTGAAGAAAACGAAGTGAGGTGGACAACTGACCTTTGTCATTAGACAGTCGACCGCATTTGCTGTGTTGCGGTTGCTTGCCAAAGGTTCAGAGTCAGTGGGAAGGGGATGCGGTTCATGAGGTCCATCTATGATGTTGTACCAGTCGGTGCTCTCGGGAGCAGGCTGAAGGTCTGCATCATCAACTTCGTCAGGATCTTCATTGTCAGCCGGATTGTTGCCACCTGTACTTCCTTCCGTCTCGTCTTCTTTGGGCACCGATTGCAAAGTCGTGGTTGGAATTGGAAAGTTGCCAAGCATAGTCGATTTGACTAGGGGAGGGGGTGGTGCTTGTATACCAAGCGCTTGAAGGCCAGCACTGACAACAAGTGCCAGCTTATGGCAGACACAGCGGACCCGGTGAGTCTTGTGATTCCATTTGAGTACTTCACCATTATCCTCGCAGTGTTTACCTAATTGTATATTCATGGCTTCCGCGAGTGTGTTGTTGTTACTTCATGAATCATGGGTTTGGGCTAGCATGTAGATAAACAAAGGTATGGAATAATGAAAGAGTTAGATTACAAGAAATATTTAGATAGATAGAAGAAATGACTTATCTTTGTATGGAGGTCGTGTTTGATCAAGAGGTTGATCAAAGGCTCTGCTAGCCATTCACCTTTGTGATGCCAGGCAATTAATTTCAAGGCAAAGTGCCTTGTGACATAAAGCCAGTCCTTGGTGACAAAAGTCACACTGACTCCTAAGAATCCATAGCGATTTCCTGGGGTAGTCCATGCGTCGTGGATGAGACCGAAGGAGCTGTTAAGGGACTGGATCATGAATTCAGTTAGTTTTGTTCAATTGGATCGATAAGAATGAACTTGATCACTTACTTTCAGTTCGTCAATCACAGACGCTCGCATGTCCAAATACGCCTCGTGCGCAAATTTGGCGACCCACGTCCTGGCAAACAATTGGGTGTTGGGATTGGCGTATCGAAATGCTGCCCGTAGATACGTGTCTTCCATCCGTCTCCAAGGTTGAGCCGTCCGGATGACCCACATACCCAGCAAGTGATTGAGTGTTTGATTGTCAAACTTTGGTACTGTTTGAGCAAAGGCTAATATAGAACTTTGGCCATCGGTAGCGTTTTCTTGTTCAGTTCGCTGTTCATAGACCGTCAAGGGGAGTTTGCATCCGTTCGCGATGGCTTTAGCCCTCTTCGGGCATCCGGGCTTTCCTGATTTGCCATCTTGCTTCGAACCGTCTCGATGGTCAAGAAGATTGGTGCTGGATGAAGGAGCACAGGCTACTTCGGCGCCACACCATTTGCACGGAAAAGCGGTACCTGGTTTGCCCTTCTTCTGCAAGGTGTAAATAAATGTTGTGAGAAAAGAGTGAAAGTAGATAGTGTGAAAAAAATATACGTACATTGACTATTGGAATCATCTCATCGTAGTAATTGCGGATAGGATCAAATTGACCTTCGACCTTTTGTTTCTTGGCAGAAACCTTGTCGTTTTCCTCTTCAGAATCCTGTACCAGGTTCACCTGAAGTTTTATACCAAGCTGACTTTGGATATTGTCGTCAGTTGTTTGGGTAGGCTGATCAGGAGGGGTTGTTCGTTTAACTTTCTTGCGAGCTGATGTTGAATGGCGTGGTTTTTTGCCTTTGCCTTTGTCGCAAGGCCGTTCCGAGCTAGAGTGATTGCTGGAGGGATTCGTATCGGCATCTTCAGAGATTAAGATGTCTTGGCGCTTGCGCTTGTTCAATACTGGTATGACAGATGAGTCGGAGTCATTGTCATCTTGTTGACGTTGGATGGAACGGCAAGAGTCGGAAGGTGAATCGACCAAATGGGATCGTTTCCTGACTGGCGAGGGTCGAGTACTACGACGCAATCGTGGATGTGAATCGGCTACAGCAGAGGAATCGGAAGAGGACATATTGTAGACTAGAAGACGGCTATAAAAATGGAAATTGAAAACGGGAAGAAATAAAGAACAATGATTATTAAAGTGGTTATGTGGTGGTTGATTGAAATGGAAATGAGAAATATTGTTGACAAGGGAGGAAGGGAGACTTACCTTTTTGATATCCTTGTTACTATCAGATAGCGTACTAGTAGAATAGTGCCATGGGCCAGGAAGAATGTTTCCATCGCGTCAAGATCACCCCTGTAATTTTAGTATATATGAACACACGGGTCAGTGAGGCAAGGTGTCAAGGGGAGATTAGATCGAAATAGGTCGAATGAATGTCGAAAGAGACGTTACTTACCAATATGGAGAGATCGTGATGTGAAGTTCCAGACCCTTCGGCGTTTGAGGGTGGTATTCCTTGATAGGTGGAAGGGGATTGATCGACTCAATAATCCAGGTACTATCGACTACTATACCGGTATTGTACCTATATTCTTGGTACTGGCAGGGCCGGTACCAGTACCGTACCTGTGGTGACGGTACTATACTGAGTACAGTACCTACCCTAAAATTAAAAAAAAATTCGCCCTCCAGTACAGTAGTGCCCACGCAGGTACGATACTGGCAGGTACGATACCGGGAAAAGCAGGTACTGTACGGTACTGTACCAATACTGGTACAGTAACTGTGGCTGCGTTGATATAGGTAGCAGCAAAGAAAAAGGGAAAGATAACAATTCGGTTGGTTCACAATCAAGGCAGCAAGTTCAGATCCAAAGACAAACATGGGAAGTGACAACTGTGTTTCCATGAAGTAAGTACCCTACTGAATAAGGGCGCAGGAGCAATCAGAACTCGGGGGATGGAGGTCGGTTAGTGTCTGAGTGTAATTCCGGGGATTCTTCATCAGGAACGTGTTTGTCCTCACCCTTGAGAACATTAACACGTTCCATGGCCTCACTGAGAAGGTGTGCGGCAAGATCCGGGTGCATACCCCTCGCCGTCAAAGAGGTTTTGGTGAATTGAACGCTAGGAATCAAGTCGGTCCAAGAGTTGACCCCGGCGCTCTTGAGGATCATTCTAGTGGTGTTGTCATTGTGAGGAACGTTGCAGTGGTCTAAAAAGTGTTCTAAAGCTTCTGCATGAGCTCAGTCCTGGCTTTCTGAGTCTCCAGGCGGGTCGCGGTAAATGGCATTCAAACCAGCAGGATCAGAGTCAACGACATCAGAAAGGTCGTGACCGTAGAAACTAATTTGAGAAGATTTGAATTGGCCTTTGGAAGGTGGATCCGAAGAGATCACAATGGGTACGCCTTTCCCAAAGGCAAAGGGGGAAGCTGAAGAGCGATGGTGAAAGGAATAAGTCAACGAAATGTAAAAGACAAACTATAGGGTCCAAAAACAAAAAAGAGACATTACCTGGTTCTTGTTTGACCTCAAACTTCTTAGCCGAAGGGGGATCTGAAGACAAATGAATCGTAATGGCTTTCGACATGTTTTTTTTGGAAGGGGAACCTGCAATGATGACACACAAAATTGAATGCGAGGGATGAGAGGAGATGTCAGAGGGAAATAGTGTACCTGGTTCATATTTGATTTTTTTGGTGACATCTTCAGGGCGTAAATCAAAAACAAAAAGATCAGTTTGAGATGCATGAAAACAAGTGAGACCTAAGCGTACCTGCGAGGCATTTAGCCTTATGCTCCTTGTCAGACACTCCCAAACCCGCAAAAGATGCAGATCTCTTCACGGTGGCTGGAGTTTGAAATAAAAGTTTGGCCGGATTGTCAAAAAAGGCTTCGCGAGAACCTCCAGCGCGGTGAAAAGTTGGAGACAATTCAAGCTGCAATTGAGCCCCTCGCATCTTCACTCGGTCATTGACCGAGGTAGCCTTGTGGTAGACATGGGCTTTCTTCATGATGGCGAGATATTCATACGTTCGGGGCGGAATTTCGCGAGTGGCCATGCCGGATTGCTAGAATACAAACAGCGTTAGTATTGTCACCAAAACAAGTTCAGATTTAAACATACCACGGCTTTGGCCCAGACCCATGCCCCGTTCCAAGTCAAGCGATATAGGAAAGTCGGATCCCATGGGCAAACCAAGATGGCACCGTCTCCGGAGGTGCCCTTTTGCGATTGTTCATGGAAAAGTTGCGCCGTTAACTCGTGGAGGGCAATGCGGTTACGCGCGTCCTGTGTCACAAAGGAAAATACTTAGCCGAAGTTGAGGAAAGGACAAAGGAGGAAGAAAAACAGACGCCGACGAAGAAAAGTACGTACCTCCAGCTCCTTGGTTAGAACACCCACCTGTGCTTCAGCAGCTGTGGGACTGCTGGCTGAAGCAATCAACTCCTTCGCGGCACAGGTCTGAAATTCATAATCAGTCAGAAAAGATCAGAAAGCAGTCAGAAAAGTTCAGAAGGATGCGAGAACATTATTGAAAGACTTACCTGGGCCACCTTTTTAGCTTTTTCTTTTCCATTTTCAGTAAAGATCATCACCAAACCCTTGTGTTTGGTTGCTTTGGCAAGCAAATCAACAAACGTCTGCCAGGTGAGACTATCGACAATGGTGACCTTTTCACGACCAACTTGACCCAACCATATCAAGCAAGGAGCAATCAGGCTTGAAAGGACCATATGGCGCATGCCCGGTTCGTACTCTTCACAGATATCGCCACACATAGCCTTGAAGTTGTTTAAAGACTTGCCAAATAAGCATTTGACCAGCTTGAGGACGTTGCCTTGGTTGAACATCTTCGACTCGACCAGGTTGTGGCGGACCGTAGAAGAAGCAGCACCTTTACGACCTTGGGTAGCTACCTTGATAGAATTGCCCTGGTCGACCTCGACCTCCTTCTCGGTATGTATCTTGAACTTGACCTGCACGGTCATCTCGTTTCTTCGATCAAATTGAACCCGCGGAGCCGTTCCAAGTCGGTAAAGTGGATTTTGCTGAGCACAGGTAGCTGGAGCATTGTCACCTGTTTGGGTAGAAGGTTCTTCAAATACTGGCAGATAGGTACGTCAGTTTCTAAAAGAAAAGACTTCGTAATTGGAGAAATGGGCTTACATGAATTCATGTGACCTTCAACAGCGGGCACTCCTTTGATATCGGAGGGTATTTCGATGGATGTGTGGCGGTTAGACATGTTAGAATTTATGTTTTGGTTATTGCCGAGCTGATAAGATATAGATAAGCTAATAATTAGACCGAGACAAAAGCCTAAAAACGGAGGAAAAGAGCGACGAACTAATAACAAGACAGAGGAAGAGAGGCTCGGGTGAAAATAAGGCTGATTGTGGATTAATAACTTCAAAACCTGGGAATTCATAAAGGACGGATTGGTCAGAGTCACGCTGAGAGAGAGGAAGGGGAAGAAAATCATTGAGCAAATGATATCAGGGTTACGGACTGGCTGAGATCGATGAACGAACAATGAAACCAAAGGAGAAAACGTACCCCTATTTATACCCTTCCAGGATGATCAAACCGATCCCCATTTTCGATGGTGAGGTCATATGAGGTCAGATGACCTCATATCCCCATTTTTCAAATCATGTTCACGATAACGGGGTGCAAAGAACAAAGATTTCAATCAGCTGATTGAAAACTTTGGCAAAAGAAAAAGAATTGACATACTTTAAAATACTCTTTGTTGTCATGATATGGTCTTATCTTTTCATTCTTGATGTTACATATATGAATTAACCAAATAGAATTGACTTTGATTTGGAAAACTTTGAAACGATTGATATCCAGTTCTTTTTTCTTCCTTGAAGCTTCGATTTCGGAAACCTTGAATCGAATATCTCGTATGCACCCTCTTTCCATGATTGAAAACATTGAATTTTGCATGACTTCAGAGCGGTTTTCGATGCCTATATCGAACGGAAATATCTTCATGGTCCTTATCGTGATTGAAACCTTTGGTTGAAAGTGATGATTTTACGTAAATCTTCGAATGGCGGATTTAGTCGAGGGGTGGAGGTGAGGGAGATTGAGGAGGGACCAGAGCGAGTAACAAAAGGTGCTAAAGAAAGTTGACTAAGGAAATTGATTGCTCGAATCAAGAGGGAAGAATCGAAGAACCCATAAACGTCAGAGATGTTACATACAGTTAAAGGAACCTAATTAAGGTTTAGGCTTGAGAAATCGAGAAAAAATACGTTTTCGACTCCAGATTAAACCCTGGGTTAAATCTCGGCGACACACAAAACCTCAAAACTTACCAATGATTCTCACAACAGCTGTAGAATTTCAAGGGTTAAGTCTCGCACTTGTAATGGCAAGAATCACGATTAGTGATCTCTCTCTTCACTCGCTGAGATCAGTCCGGTCACAAAGGATGATAATTGCATATGCACATAAGAGATAACAGAAATAGAGAAAAGATAAAAAATGATAAGTAGATAGTGTACTAACCTGTAATGGCAAGAATCACGATTAGTGATCTCTCTCTTCACTCGCTGAGATCAGTCCGGTCACAAAGGATGATGACCGGTCTGTCTAGCTAGCGAAGGCCACTACTTATAGGTTAGAGTATCTACATGTTTCTTGTTGTTGCTGTTTGTGTAGCGACTGATCTTTGTTGTAGTCGTGGACTGATCACTCGTCTCACACATCCAGAACCCATCCTCCCACAGCTCCGCGTTCCCATGGTCTCAGACCATAACACCCCCCCCACGACAAGACAAAGACTACGCCCAGAAAAAATAAGGAAAAAACAAAGAAAAACAAGTTATGTGTTTTTAAACAATGAAGATAAAAGATAAGAAAAAATCGATAAAAGATAAAAGAAAAAAAAGGAAACACAAAACATAAGTCGATATAATCACACTAAGGATAAGGACAATTTTCAGAGGATATTTTCTAACACTTTTGTGTGCATAGAAAATGAGATATGAGGCCATTACTTTACCCCAAGCTGCATCCGTGCTTCTTTAAATTTCAACGGACCCAGTGCTTTCGTGAAGGTGTCTGCCAGTTGGTCTTTACCAGGAATCCAAATTAATTCGACTTTCTTTTTGTAAAGTTGTTCATTGATGTAGTAGAATTCCCGATCAGCGTGTCGTGTTCGTTTGTTAGCCGCGTTATCAGTAGACACATGTACAGACGATTTGTTATCACCAAGTATCAGCGGTAGAGGCAAACCTGGGATGATGTCCTTTGCCAGTGAATGTAGCCACACCGTATCCCTGCAGGCAGCCCCTATTGCCATAAATTCCGCGTGGCAGGTCGAGGTGGCGACACATCCTTGTCTCCAGGACACCCAAGCAATGGGCACGCCATACAGTCGTGTCACATGGCCATACGTAGAACATGCAAATTCGCCGCCCCAGTTAGCATCAACAAATGTTTCCATAGGCTTCCTGAAATCTAGCTCCTTCGGGTTGATGTGAAGTCCGTAATTCGCTGTGTCTCTTACATGACGTAATAGGTGTTTGATCGCCTTCCAGTGTTCATCGGAAGGTGTATTCGAGAACCGGGCAAGAAAATTGACTGGGAAAGAAAGATCTGGTCGTGTACCAACCGCTAAGTAGCTCACGGCGCCTACAATAGAGAGATACCTATTCGCATCTTGGGGCGGTCCATCCGAGGTGACAAGTTTTAGATCCGGTGGAATCGGTGTCGTTGTTGCAGGTGACGTGATTAAATCAAGGTTGTCAAATACTATCTTTTTTGCAAGAGCTGGTTGTGACATAATGAACTTGTTCCGTGATGGTCGTTCTATATGAACTCCTACAATATCTTTCAATTCATCCTCCCATTTGATCTTGATGTGAGATGATAATTTCTTTTCAACTTCTCGGATGAGGATATCATCACCAGTCACTCCCCCATCATCCACGTGTAGCCAAATCATGCACAACATACCTCCTTTCCATAGGATATAAAAACTGCTATTGAACTGACTCGGCACAACCCCAAGGCTCGCAAATGCTCATCCATGAACTTCCACCAGCAACGGGCTCCCTGTTTTGTTCCGTAGAGAGCTTTTAGTAGTTTCATCGCCCTTCCCAGCTTGAACCCCGGTGGTGATTTAACCCAAACATCATGATCGATGGGACTGTTAAGATAAGCCGCAACGATATCAAACCCACGCACTTTCAATCCCCGATACGCTGCAACGACATGCATCATACGTAGAGCAGCAAACGTTGCAGTAGGTGCAAAAGTCTCGGTAAAGTCAGTCCCCGGGATCTGAGAATAGCCTTTAGCCACCAGGCGTGCCTTCATTCGTCCATCCATTTTCACGTCAAAAACCCACTTCACATCTGTCAGTTTCTGTCCCTCTGGCGGATCACTTACTACCCACACGCCCATGTCCGAAAACATCTGCAACTCATTCTTACACGCAGTCAACCACTTCTCAGCTTCAGGCAATCGCATAGCTTCAGAAAAAGACTTCGGGACAATCTTTCCTAGGAAAGTTTGATTCTCGATTAGACAAACCAGGTCATCCTGTTCCTTAACCGCCTCCTCCGCATCAAAATTACCCAACATTAACGAGTTAAGTACATGCATGAGGGTACCTTTCGAGTTTGCACCATCAGGTTTTGGTAGGGCAGGTCGTAGCAAAACAGGCGCCGTTGGTGGTTCGTTCAAATCCGAAGTTTGCTGTGGTGGTTTGTCAGGTAGAGGAGGTCCATCGGAGAGAAAACGGGCAAGGGAAGATTCAATAGTAACAAGTTTCTTAGAAGCAGGTTCCCAGAAACTCCATCCCTTCCTGCCTGACGGGTAGCCCACCATATACATGAGCTTCCCCCTCGGTTCTTGTTTACGCCAAATCTCTCCTGGTATGTGTACAACGGCAGGTTCTCCAAAGGTCCGTAGGTAATCGAGATGTGGTTTTCTTCCAAAGAGAAGTTCGTAAGGGGTCTTCAAGCCTGTCTTTGTGTTCGGAATCCGGTTGTGAATATGAGCTGCAGTTGTGTTGGCATACGCCCACATGTTGTATCCGAACTTTGCCCCATGGAGTAGTGTTCGTCCTATGTCGGAAATCGTACGTATGGATTGTTCCGCTATGCCATTCTGATGGTGTTCGTACCTGTTAGTTTGGTGATTTGTGATACCTTTAGTCGCACACGAGGCGTTAAAAGCCTTAGAGGTATACTCACCGGCGCCATCACTTCGTAAGGCCTTGACTTTTAGTCCAGTGAGACGCTCCATTTTTGCAACAAAGTCGTAGAAGACTTTAGGTACCTGATCACGCTTCGCAAAACATATAACTTCAGTATAAGTTGTTGACGCATCGCGAAACACTACCATGTATATCACACCATTTGCAGATGGTTCGAACGGTCCTGCGACATCACTGACAATTAACTCCAGTGGCTTTGGAAGGATGCCTGACGGGCCCAGAGTGATTTGTCTTAGACTCTTACTTGTCATACAATCAAGACAAGAGAATGGAGTATTGAGAATGGCTTTCGGAAGGCCTGTCGCGGACTCATGCTTCATCATTTTAGCAATGTTCCTCATACTGGTATGTCCGAACCGACAGTGCCACATGAGTGCCTCATTCTTTGTTGGAGGTGCACCAATCGTCGCATTATACGTGTGTAGTGGAGTGGAAGTGATGTGTGAAGGAGCGGAGACAGAAGAGTTAGGGGATGAAGAGATGCCTCTTCAATGAGTAGGCGTAGAAGTGTGATATGGAGTATTGTTGATTGCGTGGGGAAGACGGCGGGCGTTATAGGGGAACGGGATAACAGGACGGTCACACTGGGAAGGGGGAGGAGCCTCACAAGGAGCGGCGTTGTCACCTCGCACTGGTGATCTAGGCACTGGACATACTGCTTTTGCTTTCATTACATAAAAGACCCACTTCCTATTCTTATACACAGCACTAGCCGTCCGTCCACATGGGAAACTCAGCCTCATCGCACCATTGCTCCCTTTCCAAGATCCTCCCGATTCCACAATTTCTGGAATCAAAATAAGGGTGCATTGTGCTGCTGGTGAATAGTAGGTGTTCTTGATAGGAATGGACGATCCGTCGTCTGCACGAATATGCAGGGTTCCTTTAGCCGTAACAAAAGCTTTATTGTTCTTCGTTGCCACGGAGATTGGGATCGGTCTGTGGAGCACATGAATGTCAGTCAACCTGCTAAGGTCACCTGTAATCATGTGAGTGGCACCAGTGTCACTCACTCCTTCATCCGGGTTATCCCATTCCTCAGTTAGATGACTTTCAGAGGCCCATATGCCATTTGGTTTGTCATCTTCACCGGTAGGTCCATTGTCCAAGGGATAGGCATCATCAGGTTCGACAGTGAATTCATTGTTGTTGGCATCGACTAAGTTCATTCAAAGATTGCCACCAGGAATTCGCGATCGACCAGACGGCCCACGATAGTATGGGAAGGCCCGGACCCAATGGTCAGCGCTGCCACAAGCAAAACATTGGTAGCTTTTTGGCCCAGCCTGGTAATTGGCTTGAGTGTTGGGTGGAGCGTTTGTACGAGTCATTGGAACCGCAGCATTTACGTTGTTGTTGGTGTAAACACGCTGTTGGGGTGCGAGCGGTCTGAAGTTCGGGTTAGCACGTTGTCGGTAATTAGACTGATTCACAGTTCGTTGAATGGCCTGGGGTTGAGGCAAAAGACGTGGAGTTGGTATTCGTTGCTGTCGTGAGAGCACGTTGATGTTCATTGGTGAGTGCTGATTAGTATTGCTCAGATTCAATTGATTCATCTCAATCTCATCCGGTTTGTTATGCTTCTCGGCTCGAATCGCTTCTTCCACTTCTTTAGCAGAGATAACTGAGGTTGGATTAGTACAAAGCCGGGCATTGAGCGTAATGTTGATGTTGGTATAATCAGTAGGAACACCGGTCTGAAAGATCATTCCCATCACCGAGTCTTCATTCCAGACAAAACCAGCACGTTTAATGTCGCTGAATTTTGATCTAATGATTCTGAAGTATTCATTGATGTCCATGTTGTCCGTTAGTTTGACGTTGATGATAGATTTGAACATTGACGTGTGAGCACTACAACTAGGGAAAAAGAAGAGTGACTTGATGTAGGACATAGAATCAAAGGCACTGTTGCAGTCTTCCACCTTTCGAGCAGTTTCAGTTGGTATGGTGTGTTGTATCATTTGCTGAACAACAACATCTCCAACAGTGTCGGCCCGTCCTATGGTGGCGTCAGTAAGCCAGTTCCGAGTGGCAGTAATGTTCTTGACATAATTTGATAAGCGAAATTCCCAGTCGACATAATTAGACCCGTCCTCCTTGAGGGATTCACAGGCAGCCTTAACTTTTGGAGCCAGATTGGCCCGGAACTTGAGTGACTTCCAGTCATTTTCTCCGTCATCGTTGCGTGGTTGTTGGTGGGGCGGTGGTTGTTGAGTCTGTCCAGGGACGTTGTTTGTAGTGTTTGATGGTGTAGACATGATGTTAACTACGTTAAGTATAGAGTCAAAGTATGGGCGAATGTGTGGATGTTGAGCAAGATAATTTGATAAAGAAAAACGAGGTGATGGGCGGGTTTGAAAGGTAAAAGTGGAATCAAAGGTAAAAGGGCGTTGTGATAAAGGGTTTCTGATAGGTGGTGTGTTTCTAATTGATAATGCGCTCAGTGAAGTTCCAATATTGTCTATAGCATTGCGGATATCTTCGTCATCGAGCGTTACTTCTTGAATATCCTGTGTTACTTCTTGTGTATCCTCAATTTCAAAATTGGTATTGGTAATGGTCGGGTGAGAATCTGGTGCCTCGATAAGTCGCGTGATCCTGAACGGAGTGTTCAAATCCGGTGGTGTAGTGTGTGGTAGAATGTTAGTGTATATGAATGGCGAGCGTGAGAGTGCTTTATATATTAATGTCGAGGATTGATACACCAGGGGGTAAGTGTCCTCGGCCTCGGACGGAGTCTGGGACGTTTTCAGATGTTTGGTGACCAGAACCGACCAGAGAGGTCTCTGGTCACCGAAACACATTTCGGTTTCAGAAACCGTTTCCCCACGTGTCAGGAACGCACCTGATGTGAGGGACCGGATGTGCTCAGTGACTGCCACGGCGGTGAGACGGTGGCTTCGACACCGAACGCCGTTGGTTGATCATGTAACGGTGACCGTATGGAAACAGTCACAATTTTGAATGTCTTGTAATTCTTTTGCTTGAAAGAACAAACACATTTGTATAGTTATCAAGATTTTAAAAATGTGATGAAGATGAAAAGGTGAGAGAAGCGAGTTTTTGAAATCAAAAAGATGGTGCAGGTGCTTGCAGGTCGAAAATTTGCAAAGGTTTTTCAATTGAACATGATTGAAGCTTTGAGGGTGCAACAAGATGACACTTTTGACACTGGTGTGGTTGGAATTTTCTTCGTGTGAAATCAGCTGCACTTGCACTCACAACCTTTCAAGGCCACCCCCGTGCTGGACCATTCAGGTTTTTTCTCTCTGGTCCAGCACAACTTCATCCAAATTCATCGTCACCACCAAAATGAGACCTTCCAATTTTGCGAGTCCTGCTTCAAACTATGACCGTTTGGCATCAACTCCCAATCTCCGCCTCCGCCAAGCCTCCGCCGCTTTTGGATTGGATATTGATCCATATCACCGGACACCGCCTAACCTCCGCCAACAAACATCTGGGATGTTTCGTCCTGAAGATTCCACTGATGAGCCTAATTATCGTTTGGTTCTAGATGATGACATCCAGTCCACCTCCAATAGCACTCAACCGGAGGTGGATTCTAGGTTGGGGCGTGAAGATATTGGGGTGGATCATTCTGTGGTGTTAGAATGGATCAACTCCTTTGGCGACAAATTTGGCCTCACTCTGGATGAAAAGGCAGAGGTTGAAATTGTGTTTAAGGTTAGTCTCATCATCAAAATCCACGTGACACACTTGTGATGATGCACTGACCTCTTACGCCTGGTTGTGTTTGTAGCAATCCAACAACGTGGCTCGTGAAATAGCCACAATGTGCTTTTATCAATCTCAATTTGCCAAACTGGAGAAAAAAATAGATGAGCAAACAGTTAACATCCCCACCACTCCCATCACCACAGGAGTCAACCTCCCACAACTTGAGTTCCACTTTAATACCAGTGTGCGAGTGAGTACAAATGTTTTCCAAACATTCCCTGAAAAGTTTAACTGACATGTCTTTACTCTAGAGTTACATTTGGGAGCAAGTCAAAGAAGCCCTAGTCGGAAGTGCGATACAGTCGTATGCCACCAACTTTACCAGCTCCAACGAACCAATTCTGGATTCTTTCGAAAATCATATGATAGTAAGTTAGCCAAGGGATTCTACCCTGGCTGAACCACAACGTCTCTAATTTAACCTACATACAGACAATCATCCTTAACGAACGAACCAAGGTACCCGACACCAACCTGCCTGAAGGTTTTCGAGCTAGTGATCCTACCGCGGATACCCAGGTGCGGAAGGTTGTTAAGGAGATAGGCAAGTCGGAAAGGAACAAGTTTCAAAATACAGTTAGTGATATCAAATTCAAAATAAATCACGTACCTTCTCTTATGATTGACCTTTCAAAACAATCAGGTGCTGATGCACATCAAGGGACCTCCGAAGGACGCCAAAGTGCCCACTTTGTACAACCTACTTTTTGAATTGATTTGAAATCAAACCAGAAATTACCCGAAAACCCATCAAGAAATTTGGGCCAACACATTGATTGCAGACAAATCTCGGCTTGCCCTTTTGGTGAGTCGTTTGAAACCAAGTGGAACCATACATACATATGTTGATTGGTCTCGTTAAATACATATGTTTTGTGTTTGGAATTAAATGCAGCGTCTTGAAGGAACCATGTACCTTCTACAACCCAAAGACTCAACACAGCCACGCGAAGGACTTTCAAAAAACAAGTTTGAACGTTCGATGTGGGATCCAGTCGACGAGCGGTTGACATGGATCCGAAGTCTCAAACCAGATCATCAAAAGTTGTAAGAGACCCTTCTGTAACTTCACACTTTAACCTTTCAAATGGAGCTGATTGTAATCAAAGGTTTTACAAATGGATCATGCACTACGATGGGAAAATCTTCACCGGGAACAACACTTTTGAGGAGATTAAAAAAAAAGGCAACATTCATATTCTTGACGCAGCCGAATTTGGCATGTGGATCATAGAAGGATGTCCCATCAATTAAAAGAGCCTCGATATGTTGTAATACTTGGACAGAAGGGCCAACTAAAATACGGATAGCTACAACTATGACCGTTCAACTCAATCTGATACAAAATATGACGCCTCATAGGCGGATTCTGATTACTAAACTCGTCACCTGTTCTTCTATCAGGTTATGGTAGTGTTTCTTGTTTTGTACACTTCACTCGTTTCTTTTCTTATATTCGAACTTGAACACATCTTGAAGAAGACTTGGAGATATTGAAATATCAAGTATCTTCATTTAACCAACCAAAACAACCACTTAAAAAAAGAGAGCATTGCCCCTCGAGGCCTGCTCACTTTCACATCATGACCTTCAAACGAGCAATATAGCCCCAAGACCACCAGACCCTGGAACGAGAAGCTTTGCTCCAGGGACTGGTGGACCACCGGCACGAATCGATTTCGAGGATGTTTTTGTAAAACGTCCCTGGGACGTACTCACAAGTCCCAGGAACCGTGAGGAGGCGTTTCCGCACCGGTCCAGTGTTCGGTGATGGTCACTAGAAGGGGACGTGTCCGTATACGTCCCCTCTAGAAACGTCTCAGAAACGTCTCGAATGAATTGGAAATGAGACGTTTTTGAGCCATCTCGGTTTCGGTGCCCGCGCGGTGACTTTTACCCCCTGGTGTAGAAGGTCTGAAAACATTGTGGTAAAGGTAAAGGTGATAGACGTTGTAACTGGTTAGGTTGTTCTTCATTCCGGTCGTGTTTTATTCTCTTCAATACAGTTGATTGCAGAAAGCTTGCCAGATCCTGCCTCGCACCTGATCCGTGCGCTCGCTTATAAAAAGTTTGGATCCAACTTTTTTTTTTTTTTTGTAACTTTATTCCATCACCGATATCTCCATGATGGAAATATCGTCCAACAGGTCAGCTAACCTTTGATGGAACCAAAGCACCCCCAATCCTCGAGCTCACGTTTTCTCTAATCCATTTCCCATTTGATTCAATTCCCGATATTCGCATTTGATTTCCTTCCCTTCTCTCTTCACCGGTACCCAAAGTTTTGCAATGGCCTTTCAGAAGTACTCCGAAGACATCAAACTGCTCGCCGTTAAAATGGCCCGAAGAAATCGCTCTTGAACCGATATCAATCGATTCCTAGGACGTAGGATCTCACCCGAGTCTCTTCGACAATGGCAACAACTCTACCAACGCACTCACAAAGTGATTCGAAACCCGAAGGAGTACGATAAGCGAGGCCGCCACCACGTCCTATCAGATGACCACCTAGCCCTTCTATACGACTTGATCACTACTCGACCCAGCATGTATCTAGACGAGCTTCAACAGCAACTGGAGCTGTTTGGAGACATCAAAGTTTTGCAAGCTACTATCTCCAGAGAACTACACAAACGACTCGGACTGTCTCTTCTGGTCACTCGGGGTGTTCACAAGGACCAATCCGCGATCGATCGAGCCAAATTTGTAATGAGGGTGGCTGGAATTCCACCCGAGTACCTTGTCTTTATTGGTCAGTAGTCTATTCACTGTCTCTTCCCTGTGTATCATGGCAATTGTACTGACCTTTGTTGTTTTCTTAGATGAATGTGGGATTGTTGGACCTGATTGTGATCGAGTACACGGCTGGGCACCTAAGGGTGGTCAAACCGTCCGAGAAGAGCGTGGTTCTGATCGCGATCACTGGACGCTTTTACCGGCGGTATGCGAACAGGGGATGCTTGCAGGAGTTGCAGTCAAAGGGCCCGTGGAGAGGATTCATGTTGAGCTCTTTCTCAAACATGACTTGGTGAGGATTTTTCATCATAATCTTCCTATTCTTTTCATTACTGTATGTACTAACAACTTTTATATTTCTAGATGCCGGTGATGAACCCATACCCAGGTCCAAAATCAGTTCTGATTCTGGACAACGCACGGATTCATCACGGCGGCCTAATTGAAGAAATCTGTGAAGAGTATGGGGTTCTATTGATCTACCTCCCAGCATATTCACCAGACTTCAATCCTATCGAGAAGTCCTTCCACTGCACACAGAGCCAATTAAAACGGGAGGGAAGATGGGCTATGATAGTTGACAAGGCTGAATACATACTTAATGTGGCTGGTCGTGTTATAACTCGCTCCTTAATGCAACCACTGATTGTTAACAGCGGCTATACTACACATCATTACTGGAAATATTTCAATGAAGAGATGGGCATTTAGGAATGGTGAGATTCATGTTATTGAACTGCCTTTTTCCTTATTTTCCAGTTGAGGAAAAAATTCTTCATTGATTTGTTGTTTTTCTTATTGTCCAGTTCAGGGAAAAAATTGTTGATGGGATTTTTGATTTTCTTCATTGTTTTGATTTTTTCTTAATTGTCCAGTTCAGGGAAAGAATTGTTGATGAAATTTTCGATTTTCTTTATTGTTTTGATTTTTTCTTATTGTCCTGTGCTGGAAAAACACATTTCAGTTGAACAGATTTTCTTTATCAATTCTTCTGAACACATTCTGTTTGTTGTTTTTTTTTCTTCTCCAATTGATAATTTGTTATGACTGTGCCTTTTGTCCACATTTTATATTTTATTTGAATTGGACTTTTGTTTCAGAAACCAATTAAGTATTGTTTTTGATATTTTGACTCTTTGAGACAAACAAAGGAAAGAAAAGTGATTTTTTTAATTTTGACTTCATGAGTATTGAGATTTGAGTTGAATACATACCAAGAAATAATGAAATGTTTATAATGAAATGTTTCATCGGATTGGACAAGTATTGAGATTTGGTTTCAGTTACATTTATAAAAAGCAAACCAACAATTTTTTATAATTTATGACCAAGTTTTTGCTTGAGTATCTATAAGTTGTTTGTGGTTAACTTATGTTAGACCATATTGAAAAAATAAGGAGGCTTTTTGCTTTCTCTCAGTTTTCAGGCTCACGGAAGAGGGGCAAACTAAGTTCTTTAAAAAGCATCACATTGAGCTTGCATTCAGGAAAACCAAACATAATAGGACATCAAACACAGTCGTGATATCTTCAACAAGGACAATTCATAACCCAAATGTGTCTCTTAAACAAGTCATAAGGACACACACATTATATTTTTATGGATTTTGTTTTTCAAAAACAGGAAACAATAATATGAAAAACAATAAAAAGAATCACATATTCCAAACATAATTGATCTTGTATAAGCGTGAGACTAAGTACAAGACCACCTTAAATCACTCATCTTCAAAGTCATCATATTCAAATTCAGCATCATCGTCGCTTGAGGTTCCAGAATGGCTTGATTCATTTGAGACCGACTGATTGAGCGCTTCCGCTGCCTCCCGCTCGAGTAGATGTCTGTAGTACTTAGGAGCTTCGCGGAATAGTCGTTTTGAAATACCCCAGGAGATTCCTAATTTCTGAACGTCGCGTGCAGTAAAGTCTTCAGGAGGAAGGAACATGTCAAAGTTGGTGATGTCGTATTCATAAAGTGTTTTTGAGACATGGGGAAGTTTGTCATCTGGAACTTTGGCAAAAACCAAAAAAAGATCAAGTGTGGCTTTTTTGACGAGTCGGTCCACTTCTGAAAAGTCCGGTTGTTGAGAGATAGGAGTAGAAGTTGGCTGAGAGGTAGGACCGGGAGCCGATGCTTTGGTCTTGGGGTATTTAGCAGGGGTGGACAAAGATAACGGCCGCTTGATGCCTTCCCATACAAAATTGTCAAGGTAGTCGGGCGGTTTTTCTAAAGACGCACGCGAGTTTTTCTTAGTCTAGTGAAAGGAAAAGCTCTCAGTAAATATTATTGAAAGCTTCAAAGATAAACAAAAATTAAGACGCACCAACTCTTCGGCCCACACAACCATATGTGCATGACTTATATCCATCACCATGGTCACATCATCTCGATTGTAAATTCGCCACCCTTCGCGCGAGTTGTTATGTGCAGTAGTGTATTTTGTGAGAAGGTCAGCGAGATATTGTTTTTTATCGGGCATAGGGATACTTTCAACTATGGTGGAAGCCGTTGTTGGTTTGGAATTCTTGACATTCTTTGCAACTACCCTTGCATGAGATATTGACAGTTGCTAAATTGACATAAAGTCAGTTTAATCAACAATGAGACTGAACAAACAAACTTGAACAGAAAAACTTACTGCTTCATCTTCTCGAGCCTTTCGGGCTGGATCTTTCATTGACACATGTATACCGGCTTGCTTTGTCGGATGTAACACAATAGCATCGAAGAACTCCTTCATGTGTTCGTCGGAGGTGATTTTACGTTCTTGGTTCTTAGCAAAGGTCGGGTGTTGAGCAATGTATACCTCGATAGAGATGTCTCCTAGGGCGTCGGCTTGTTTCAGGATATCCGCGTTTCCGTCAGAGTTTGGAGAAGGGTTGATTTGATTGGCCAAGAGAAAGAGTTTGTCCTTCAGCGCAACGAGTGGCGTTCTGGTGAGTTGAAACTGAGTTTTCTGCGGTCGGATCTTGTAGGGTATAAAACCGGGTATAAAACCGGGTTTTGAACCCTTTTTGATCGAAGCCCCAGCAAATGGGTCTGCCACCTTACGGGTATACAACGTATAGCTCAAAGTAATGTCGACCACCGGTTCAGTAGGTGTGTTTTTTGCTGAACCACCTGTAAATTTAAAACCACGCTGATGTCAGATAAATCAAAGAAATGAAACAGGGCTTGACTCACCATTAGGAGGCTCAGTAGGACACTGTTGGTAGGTTATCTTGTTTGGAAGATAGACACCATCCAAGACCTGATGTTCATCAGGAAATTCCATACAATCCGAGGCTTGGGATGAGTCAAGTGATCTCGCCGGAAAATGCATGGTTGGCTTGTTGATCTGACTCTGAGAGGGTGAATTTAAGAAGGCTTCGGCTGCAGTTATCTGGCTGTTTGGAGGAGATTCGGCTGAATCATGAGAGTGTAAGCGCTGGCTCGAATCCATGAGGTATAACCTAGCTGCTGCTGCGTTAATCTGGTTTCGTGGCATCGGCGTTGGTGTAGCCAAACTAGGCATGTGGCGGTGTCCGTTCGAAGAAGAATTCGAGGTACTAATTGATTAACAGAGAAAAAAAATCAACAATAAAAAAAGTTATAGACGGCTGGGATGATGCTTACACGCGAGTGATGAAATGGTTGTTGGCAGAGATTCCGAATGGTGGAGTCCTTTGAGGCATGATCAAGAATAAAGATGAGGGGGAATGAGAAAGAAAAAAAGGGAAAATCGGGAATCGACAATTCCAAGAGGCAGAGAAGGGGTCCTCCGGGACCATCGTAGGTTTGTTGTTGGATGATCCTTCCAGCCACGGAGGGATTTGTGATGGAAGAAGGTTACAAAAAAATAAAAATAAAATTAAGATTGTAGAAAAAGCTCAGCACTTAAGCAAGCGCACGGATCAGGTGCGAGGCAGAGGACTTGGCCGATCTGGCAAGCTTTTTGCAATCGACTGTATATCAGGGTTATTCTTAATAATGCTAGGTACTGGTATGCTGCTACTTTGTAAATACTGTTCTTTGCCTTTGACCTTCTCTGGTCGATTCGTCGCTTTTCGAGTTCTTGTTGGTTTAAGTCGTGGAATAGGTTCTTCATCATAATCATGCGTTCGCGTCTTCATTTTATAATCCAAAAAATTGTATAGCAAAAAAAAAAAAAAATCAAGGTTTCATCGATCAATGTCTTCACACTTCAAGCGTTTACTGCTTCTCTATTTATTATAGTACTATTCGTCGTATCTTCGCAGAGGTAGTGCGGGCTCATAACCTGTAATGGCAAGAATCACGATTAGTGATCTCTCTCTTCACTCGCTGAGATCAGTCCGGTCAGGACCCCGGAAAGCTCCCCCTGAACCAACCGACGTAAAACCCGGATTTTGAGGATTTTCATACCCAAAAATCCCGGACTTTTGGAGCTTTCATACCAAATTGGTCGGTAACAGTTCAGTACCAAAAGTGAGCCCCGGGCTACAAAGCTATGTTTTGGTGCCATTTAGTGCCAAAAATGTTGGTATGACGATGAGATTTTAAAAATTATACCGGGCACGTCTGTAAGATGAATGACTAACAAGCCATTTTCATACCAGTTTGGTCGGTAACATGACCAAATCTTGACCACTCAAATCATACCAAACACGTCGGTAGGTTTAAGGGGAGCTTTCCAGGGTCCTGTCCGGTCACAAAGGATGATAATTGCATATGCACATAAGAGATAACAGAAATAGAGAAAAGATAAACAATGATAAGTAGATAGTGTACTAAGAGCATCCACTATGTTGAGGGTGTTTTATCGTAAATTTTGCGGTCCTGATCGCGAAATTTGATCATGCGTGTTGTAGCTAAGTTGTTAACCGCATGAAATCCACTATGGGATGATGTAACGTAGGATTTAACTACGATAATCTGTTCTTAGAACACTATACACGCTATGGCAAAGTCGAGACTCGAATTGAAGTATCTTACCACGCCTCACCCAGCTCACTTCTATGATGATGACTACCTTGGTAGCCAGAAAGAACCAAAATGATGGCTTCAGGTGTTGACAATGAGCATCGAGCTTTCTCACATCTTGCTCGATCTTGGTGAAATCAATTGCACGGAATCACTTTTTTTTAAAACAAAATGCGTTTTTTTTAGCAAATTCAGAGTAAACAGCTACCATCAACAAGCTGTGATTTTGAGGGACGAGGGAAGATTTTGATTGAAGGTGGTGAGTGCAGAGTGGGATGGATACAGATAGATCATTTGATGGCTGTTGACCGATTTGATGCGCCAAAAGTCTACGATAAATCAAGTCGTAGGCTTGCGTAGATTTGAACAAGGGGAGTGCAAGATTTGACGCAGTCATACGGACCGCATGTCTAAAACAGGTCCATAGTAGACCTGTCTGGATTTTAGCGTTATTCTAACGCTAAATCACATCGTTAACGCACCCATAGTGGATGCTCTAACCTGTAATGGCAAGAATCACGATTAGTGATCTCTCTCTTCACTCGCTGAGATCAGTCCGGTCACAAAGGATGATGACCGGTCTGTCTAGCTAGCGAAGGCCACTACTTATAGGTTAGAGTATCTACATGTTTCTCGTTGTTGCTGTTTGTGTAGCGACTGATCTTTGTCGTAGTCGTGGACTGATCACTCGTCTCACACATCCAGAACCCATCCTCCCACAGCTCCGCGTTCCCATGGTCTCAGACCATAACAGCACTGACATAAATACACACTTGAATTCAATTTGCAAGTGGTTTCGGAGTTCACTTTAGATTTAGATGATGACATGATCCACCACTCGAACTCAGCCCAAGCTGCCCAAGTCGACTCTCACTCTGAGTCTGACTCTGACTCTTGATAACTTTCACCATAACTTCACATGAACCATGAATCACCATCAAAATGAAATAACCAATCAATCGATCACCAAGAAAACATCCTTCCCTCATGCTGATATAGAAGCTCAACTTCAAAACGTAAGTCATTTCCCATCACATCTCAGAACCAAATCAAATCAACCATTTAATCTAATCTCTCCTGTCAAATACAATCTGTAGCTTTACCTTTATTCTGACTTTTCATCAACTACTCGATCTGGTCATCAAGATCAACTCGATCATCTTGGTCCTATCATTCGTAACATTCATTTATCTAAACAACAAGATGCATTCTTAAGACATCTTCTTAAATTTATGAGAACCAAAGAAGCCGAAATCGAAGCTGTCTGTCATGCAAATCATCAGGTTAACTCATCATTCACTCACTCACCTCTCTTTCCTATACATCAAATCATTAAATCAACCCAAATCATATCTTTTACATTTGGACTTTATAGGATCAGTTGATAAATTATTGACAAGGTACTCTATCCCTTCGATCACATGTAGTCAGTCTCGATCCATCACTTCAATCATCAGGTGCTTCTCTAGCCTCAGCTCGTTCTTCATTACTCGACGCAAGAAAAGTGGCATCCAATATTGATGATACAATCGATACCCTTCAAGCTTGTTTACGTGTCCTCGATCTCTCTAAGAAAGTCTCTCAACAGATTCAAACTGGAAAATTCTATTCTGCACTAAGATCATTAGATGAACTGAAGCCAAAATATGTATATTTTCTAGTTTTGGACATGGAGTTTAAATCCGGCTGCAACTTATCTTGAGCAAACCTGCCATTAATTTCTTTAGTAGCTGTAACTTTGCTAAGTTTATCTTCATCCATCAACTCTCGTTTCATCCATCTTCTATCGATAACCTCGGCTTTCCACTATCAATCAACTCGGCTTTCAACGATCAATCATCATCACTATAGCAACAAATGTGCTGGATTCCTGACTGGTGCAGGATTCCAGTACATTTGTGACCTTTGATGGGTTCAACTGGTGTGAATATGACCATCAATAGGACAGGCTGTGATTCTCTGATTGTTTCATCAGTCAACTAGCGAAAACGGACGATGAACCCACGAGGATGGAGATTGACAACAATCGAGACAACTCATCCCGTCATCTCGACTCCGTATGCGAAATGGCACATGTACAACTGTGTTGAAGTATCGTTGAGTCTTTCCAAGAAGACGACTCTCCGCCCTTGGATATGGATTGCGAGACAGTAGGGTCTTTCTTGATTGACCACATTGATCGACTGGTGAAAGAAGATTCCATGCCGGCAAGCAATGCAATTAGACTTATTGAGCACATTGGTATGTGCCTCAAAGGCGCCATCCGAATTATCCTACAACATTTATAACCATTTATCAGAGAATTCCACGGAATTCGTGTGTTCACTTTGTGACCTGTCACATATTACTTTGATGGATCTTCAGGCCCCCAGAGGGACGAATTTTCACCCCAATGTCCTCACGAGCGTAATCGAAAAGTGTCTGAGTTCCCAAATCTTCATCAACATTGACACCACGAATGTTAACATAGACTCTAAAGAATACCGACAGGTTCAATCACAGAAGAGATCCGCGATCATCAGACTCGTCACGAGATTATTACTTCAAACCGATCTGTCCACTCCTTGCGATAAGGAAGACTGCCTAGGATTATTGAATCATGATGTCGGGATGGGATTAGGAGTCTTGGACTCTCTGCAAATGAGACTTCGTATTGAGCGAAATGCAGCAGGGTATGTCGCATAGTTTCATACCGCCGATGTTTGTACTGATAGAAATCTTCCCACTATCTACGTTCAGTCGTCTCCTTGCGATCACGCTGTCCAAATCACAGACGGGTGTCGATTCAAATGGAGACCGTTGTCGGACACTCGATGCCAACGCAATTCTTTCCAAACTCAACCAAATGGTCACTACAAACGAAGCCAGGATTCAAGAAGATCTGATCGTCCCCCTGGTACTGGCTTTCGATCCCCTTCGAGATTCAGAAAGTGAACAACTGGAGTACGGCAACTGCGAGAATCTTTGAGTGGTCAACTTTGCATTATGATCGTTCGACAGATGTGCAAACCAAGTGCTTACTTGCGGGGTGTAGTTCGAAATCAGGTGCGTTTCCAACAGATTTTACACCTTTGAATGCAGCTCAAAGATTTTTAACATGAACTGGCCCCTGTCTCGACAATGCAGATAGTGTCATTAGCTCAGAGAAGCTCTGTGACAGTTTACAAACTGCTGAGTAGATACTTGTCGCTGATCAGCGAGACAGTTGTACTCGATCTTAGGATGAATACCAAAGGATTGAACCTAGTGGCCGAACTATTGGGTACCCCCAATGATGTCTTTTTATCCCAGAAGTCACAGTACACCGTACCTCGATTGGTGTCATTATCGAACATACCAATCCTCGAACGCCTCGCTAGTGTGATTCAAGATACCCTTTCAAACATCATATCTGATCATATGGTAAAGATACTGGTAAAGATACCCGCCGAAACTTTGCTTACTTCCGGATCTCCAGATGACCAAACAAAAAATCGCAAATTTGATCTTGTTACTCAACAAAGGAGAGAAGTCTGCTCTGAACAATCAATCCCCGAAATTCTCTCTTCTCACATTGGCACCATACTGTAGTGGTCCGCTGTATTTCGAATTGATTGTTGAAATGAGAGTTTCGACTGAAGGTTGCCTGAACAAAAATCCGAGTCAACACCATTGTTAAAGATCAGGAGGTTGAGGATGAGTTGAGACATCAGATGCTATTCATCTTGACGGTAATGAATGATACACTTCAAGATTTACGAGGCAAATATTCGATCGGAAATAACATCAAGGTCATGGAAGGCTTGGGGAACTTGATCAAGATTGTGAAATCTGGCTTGAACGGCTTCATACCACAAATCACCACAACCTTGCAGGCTGCTCTATCAATCCCCGCTGTCAGGGAACCTGCTCTCAGAGTCTGGGACTTGTTTATCAAAGCGTCCTCAGCGAACGATCTAAAGGCCTTTGTTGGTGAGGTTTGGAACAAATTGACTCCTGAACAATTGACCATCGCCACCAAGATATTTCATCAGATCCTCAAGAAATCAAAAGAGCTTGGTACCAAAGTCTACGATATTGCCGACATCACCGGTCTTGAGAGGCCAAGCTTACGATCCAACACAGCTCCGCTCATCACATCCGATGTTCATGGACTTTTAAAGGAGGCACAACAGATGCTCGTCTCGATTAAGAGACTAATGTCATATCTACATAAACTACGTAGGCTGGTCGATTGGCTTAATGATGAAAGTGGCATTGTCGTCAGGCAATCGCTAAAAGAACTCAAGCATTCACTATATCTCGAACCAGATCAGATTAGGGTAGTCACATCGGGTGATAGTTTTGATCCTGTGATCCGAAGCTTGTTGAAGCCTCTGACGGGGGTAGCGATGAGATTCAATGATATCTCCGATGACTTCAAGTGCCTCACATTTCAATGTCTTGGAATCATTGGAGCATTGGACCCTGATTGGTTCGAAATATCTGATGACGGGCCTGGATGTGTTTCACCATGTTGACTATTCTCAGGTGATTATCTGATGAAAACACTTCAATCGAGGATTGATGCCATCTCACCTGCATTCCGTCATCGAGAACAAGTGCTTTGGTTGAGGAGGACAGCATTTCAACTTAGGTTTAGTTCAATCTCTTACAAATCTATCATTTACAACTTATTGAACATGTAGGTCTCGTTTTTTTAGATGTTGAGGAACGCCTGCGGTAGGCCAGTTATGGGTCCAAACCGCGAACATCGCACGTAAGGCTGGACACTTACAAACATCATATAGTGCTGTTCTACAAGCTTCAGAGCTTAAGACACCTACAGCTTTTCTCCAACGATCAAAATTGTTGAAATTGGAAGACCAACCACATAAAGCGATAGCCGAATTGGAAAGGAATCTTGCTCATTGTACTCCAAAGGATAGTGCTGGTATGTCGGATGATATATCGACTCGAGATTATGCAACGGTGATTGGATTTTGAAATCTTGAATTTGAAACCTTATCAGACGTGATGGGTGACTGATTCTATTTTGGGATATCTGATAGGCTTGTCTACAACGTGCTCGATGGATGGATGAAGTCAATCGATATGATGTGAATTACATAGCTAGCAAGTTTGATAAATTAACATCTGAACATCCAGAGTTAGTATTTTGAGATTTATAAAAAAGTTTATCTTTTAAATAAGAACTGATTTGATTTTTTTCCTCTTCTTCTTGATAGATGGTCAAGTCCTTATTATTACTTTGGTCGATTTTATGATGAGAAAGCAACCGAATTAGTCAACAGATGTAATTGGAATTCTGAAACTATGTTAGAGACTTTTCTTTATTGTTGAAAGAGAGATCGATAGAACCAAAGATTGAACTTTGATGATTGGATTTTGTTTTGTTTTGATTAGAATTTGTTACACACATGTGAACTGGTGTGCAGGCTTATGAGCTCTTTTTTGAATGGTATGCTCAAGTCAAAACAGACACAAGATGGCATCCCTCCAACTCAAAAGATATGATGGACAGGCTTCAAGCATTTGAAAAGACTTTGCGAGAGGAACTTATTCCTCCAGAAAGATCTCTAACTGTGGATCCAATACCTGAAGAGCCCCCTCAACCTTCATCTATTCCGCCTCAAGACCCGATCCCCAGTGTCTGTGTCCACGAGCCCTCTATTGCGCCTCAAGACCTTGATCCCTCATTACAGTTCCATATGCCTGTTCCTGCTCATAGGTCACCTCGTCATTTGGCCTCACCCAAAGCCCAAGTCAACAAAGGAAAGCAGAAGATGTCCAAAACTGTTGTCTTCTCATTGCCTTGACAAATCCAACTTCTACTGAAGACAATTCGACTTTGGAAAACTCAATGAATCCTCTCAATGATCTCCCACTCCAAACCTCTGCCGAGAAAGCATCAGCATCCATGTCCTCTGGGAGTTTGAGTATTCCCAAGACTGTGAATACAACTCAGGTACCTATGGGGGTGTGATTGTTCCTGTCAGTCCTGATGTCAGGCCCAACCCCACTCTGCCTCCTCCTGCTCCTCCTCATCCATCCAAATTCTATCCTGTCTTACGACCGTGTGTTGCCTTCTCAGTTTCGCGAATAGTGAAACAACCAGCGGACGTGTATGCAGATCCTCTTCTCATCGCTGTACATTTCGGATCTTACTATCGCAAAGCGACATCACTATGTAACACTAGGCTGCCACAAGCCAGTTATCCCTGTGGTAACTTTTCTGGCACCTCTAGCTTTAAATTCTAAACGACTAAAGCGATCGATAGACTACACTTTCATGGCTTGTATTCACACTGAAAATCATAATCAAGGGGACTTTTACCCTTTTGTTCAACTCGCCACTTCTGTTCTCAATGAGCCCCCCTTAAGACACCTGCATTATTCTTTAACATATGTGCCGCCCCAACCAAACTCCCCATCTGATAATGTCTT